CTTAAACCCTAATTTTCTCAAGTCATTTTGTAAAACGATAGCGAAGTAAAATAACTTGTAAAATGAAAGGTCAAGGATTTAAAGTGAAATTGTTATTATTTAAGCAAGTCTAATATTTTCATAAGTCTTCAATAAATATCATAAAAACATTTTTATAAATAGACTAACATATCAAACAAAGGATTTTAACAAGTTCAGATTACAAAAGGGAAAATCTTCCCTTTCAAATTTAATATTTTTCATTCTTATTTGGTCTCTCATTAATATTTTTTTTTCACGTTAAAAATGTATTCATTACTGTTATAAAATGATTAAACAGACCTTTTTAAATGAAAATTAATCCACATTACACATGTGTTGCACTATAGAAATCTATATTAATATAATAAAGCGTAAACACACACTTCTTTGTTGCCTAAGATGTCAGCAATCATAGCATGTTTTAGAATAACTCTTTTTTTAATCAAAAGTTCTACACTTACCTCACGTTTTAGGCTATACATTTTCATGTTGTTAAACTGGTGTAAGGTGTAAATATTTTTGATAAAAACCCAAATGTGGGAAAGAGACCATATGTTGTTACCAACATCAATGAAGCAAGGTTGCCATGGTTTGACATCATGTCATGTCATTTTGACATTTGCAATTGAAAATTTGAGAAATGTAAACAATGAAATGAAATTTTTATAATTTTATGCGGATAAAGTCGCATGGGAATAGCTTGTATTGGAATAAAATCAAATCATCTCGCTCATACACTCTGTAAAAACAAGTGGCAATACAAATGTAACGCCAATGAAAACCGACGGTTATAGGGCGCTTTGGTAAATGTGAGACCACGGAGATAATTAAAAGGGTTCCAACTTTTGCTGGAAACAGCTGCATAGGACAGTACTTAATTGTGGTCCGTGGTGACGATTTATTTTAGTTGTCGAGTTCGTGTACATATTATATTGTTGAAAAGTTTCTATAGAAAACATAGCCTAAGATATGCTTAGACTGGCTCACTAAATCAAGAGCTACTAAATTATATTTAAAGACGTGATACAAGGTTTTTTAAAGATCGCACACCTTTGACGAAACATCGCACAACAATTGTGCGATTGTTGATTGTTTCGCAGCCAATTCAACTGCTTAGTTGCACTAAAAATCGAGTAGTGTGTGCACCTCCATATAAGCTATTAGAAATCGAGACTAAACAGCTCCTAAGAGCCTGAATCATCTAGTTTCAAAACCCAAAATAATTTTACAAGATCATTGTGTGTAGTAAAAAGTGCGAAAACTGGTCTATGTAGTAACAAACAAAATGATCAATATGGGTTCTGAAGCCAATTTTACTAGTAGTTAATGTAAAAGTTGGTATAGTGTAATATAAAAGAAAAGAGCGATAGAAATATTTCCACCGACCGTTGATAATGAGCGTAGTTCTAAACAATTTGTATTCCTCATGGTTTATTTGTAATGTTCGTTTAATACGAAACTTTGTTGAATACTCCATTGTAGGGTGGCTACGCTATTGTTCAATGCGTTTGACAATGTGGACACTTGGTAAGTGACAGGGGACGCGTCGATGCTAAACACAGATATGTTCCTTTGAACTTTGTGCTCCGGGATTACACTGGAATATTAAAGGGGGTTGTTACAATGAAAATACATAGTGGGTTTACACGGATGCATAGTTCAGTTCCAAGATAATTTACCCTTTGTTCTTTCGAATGCTTTGAATGAGTTTTACAAAGGAGAAAATTATTAAGTACACAATGACCTGTTGAGATTTGTCTTTCACTATTTAGTTGAAATGAAAAAGTAATACTTATGATACACGAGTAATAAAAACGCTACTGAATTGGTCGAGTAATGTAGTCTACAGCCTAAATACAAATCCACACAACTAATTACTTATAGTAAAATTGCATGTAACACGATTAAATAATCTTGAGCCTCTACGTTTTTGTAAGATCAAGATTTTAAATATCACTTTAAAAAAAAACAGATTGGATTAAAATACAAAGTACACATTAAGCCGCCGATTGTGCACTGACATTACTCTGAACTTAGCAGAGTATGGCGACACTGTTCTCAAAATTTATGTCATATTACCTAGCCCATAAGCCGCTGACCTCTTTTAGTTATGTGGAACAAATAACAAGATAAAGCGATATTTTATATTTTTAGCTTGGCAGTAATTTATTGTTGTAAAGTCGCAAGAAAATATAAGTGTTTTATGTAAACCATACACAGTTAACAGTGTTTTTATGAAGACATTATTTTAATCACCAAATATAATTGAGTTATCCCAAGTGCAGAGGTATAGAACGGATCTAAAACGTGTCAGTCTTATAACTTGTACCACACAAATATAGCAAAACCCTTTCCATTTATTGCTGAGAAAGGACAGTAATTTATGTATTACGGCTTAGATTTTATTGCATATATGGAGAGATTTTTTTTTTATTATTTTGTACGTCTCTAAATTGATTCTTTTGAGTACTTTCATTAAATAGATTAACCATGCAGAAAAAAATATAAATAACTAAAGTCACATGTGGCACTGTTTAATCAATAAAGTCGGGGTCAGGTGGGTTTAATATAATCATACGGTCATAAGAACGGTATTGAAATCAACATATTCATTTGAAATTAACAAAAAGATTCAAACTAAAGTGAACAGTTTTTTTGCAAATACTATTTTATGGTAACAAAAGCATCTTGTTTCATCAGATTAGATTGTCAATTTCCAATACATATTTACATTATTTTAGGTTCTAAAAATTTGGACCAGAAAAAAAAATGAGAAACATATTCTTTATAAAGCTCTTTCCATTTTATGTTCAACAATTATTAGGCTGACCTATTTAGTCGAAATTCGAATCGTTCCGAATCCCTTTCAAGAAAAATAATCGAATTTAGACAGATGGCGGGTCATTATCGTTTGTTTGAGGGACACACATTTTCACGCCGCTATTTTTGGCAAATAGGCCCCAATAACTTTCCGTCTAAAATCACCCCATTTATCTATACGATAGGACATTAGTTACTCTTATATAAGACATAATAATACGAATGGAAATGTTCTAGACCAGTGATTCTCAAAGTGGTCTATATCGACCCCTAGGGGTCTATGACAACCTGCAAGGAGTCTACGTGAGCGAAAAAAAATTGGGGGTACATGAAATGAAAGTGGACGATAGGGGATCTCAACACATACACTGATAGTACCTATTTACTTACATCATACTATCTTGAAATATCAAAACATATACATATTTAAAAGTGCCTATGAAGTAAAAAAAAATGTGTTTTTACTTAAAGTTTTTAACACTTAATATCCCTATAGTAAATGCAGGAAATCAATATCGGGTAAGTAGGGGTCTACCCAAGACGGAAAAACATGGAATGGGGTCTACGATACAAAAAAGTTTGGGGAACTCTGTCCTAGACCAATCACAACAAATGTTTAATAGCCTCGATGGTTTTTGGCTTGAAGATTGATGAAAGAAGCAATTAAAAAAACTCTCTTTTGCAAGTACAATTGACCCATTGGAGTCGTAACCTTGGAACGAAAATAAATAACATCATACTAAGAAAGTCTTCTCTTAGCAAGAAGTAACTTGTAAACTCCGTGGTAATCAGTAATAAAAATTTCTCTTGTACGTCAGTTCCTTAACATTAAAGTAAAGAAGCATAAGAAAATAGTAAGAGAAGTTTCAAAGAGAACAATGTTCATTAGGGGCGAGAAGTTAAACTGTACATTAACACAACTAAAAGAATATTCCGGTAATTTGCGGGCAAGCACTTCCCACACTTTCCTACAACTTTATTGCTACGTTGAAAGTGGAAGAGCTAAATTGCTTTTTACTTTTAATGCCTATAGCTCTTATAAACGATTGAACAATAAAATACTTTTATCTATTGTTAAAATAGCTTAAAATATTTGTTTGCATTTGTTTTACTAAAGGTGAGTTTCCAATGTCGCTACATTTAATAGTTTTGATATTGTAAACTTTAAGCAAGAAAGACCATCGCCAACTTGCCCTTATCCCTATACAGTATGTGCTGCTTTGCCCTACTTTTCTATCAGCCGTCATACCTGACTTCACTCCTTAATCTCCTCTTTCGCACAATCCATCCATACTTTGATATGAACACGAATGAACCGTGCCTCAAAAGCTTGTGTTTATTAAAATAATCAAATATGCACCCTCAGTGTCTGCATCGTGTATTTTATTTCCCCATCTCAAAAGTATTTTGAGTAGAAATATGAGAGGCTTAGTGTTTGAAACAAATACTTGTAAAATTACGTAAAATGTAAGTTGATGTAACCATGAATTTCAATCGTCACGCATATTTTGTAGAGATCTTAGAAACATGTGTTCAGAATATGTCATTCTTGTAATTCAGATGTCAGGACACTGGAGACGAAATGTTTTTCTCAATGGGGTAAAAAATTCCATTGGTCCCACCAATGGGCTCGCTGATAAGCCCAACCATATCCAGATAAACCAATACATAGTTTGGACTTGTTTGACGACGTTGATTGCTAAAATTCGCGTAAAATATTAAAGAATTAAAAAAAAAGTATTTGTCACAATTTTTATCTCGCATTCAGAACTGTTTTACTACGTTTAGTCCCATATTAAAAAAAAATCTATGCATTTGAGTACTGTTTCAGTATAATTTGTGAACGATATCGCAAACCTCCTTAGAATTTTTTATCAAATCAAATCTTAACTGTACCATATCGTAAACAGCGTTATCAGCTGTTGATGATAAACATTTTACGAAAGAAATATATCTACGTTAGTCTTTAATTAATAGGTGAAATGAAACAGTTATCAGAATCAAAATGAACTTGACCTTTGAATTTGTAAATATACTCGTTATTTTTCAACCTATCAGTTAAATAACAACTCTCAATATTTCTATAAGTTAATATAAACATTTCAATTATAATCTACTGATAAATTATTACAGAAAACTATAAATATACCATCACTTCATTTTATAATCATTTCGCTCTGGTAATTTGTAAGAAACATGGCTCAGAAATTACATTACTTCGATCTGAATGGAATTGCCGAGTCTATCAGATATTTGCTTCATTACGGAGGTCAGAAGTTCGACGATGTTAGGTACGAAGTGAAGACATGGCCTGATAAAAACGTCAAAGATGGTAAGTATTTTGTTATTTTGATTCACTTTTAGATATAAGATTACATTTTTAATAAATAACTTAATTTAATCGACTGTAGGCGTCGCCAGAAGATGATCTAGGGGGGAGACATTATTTTTTTTTAATCTACTTTACATTTATTGATTCTCGGTTAGCTTCTGCCTCCTGGCGATACCCATGTAATCGCCTTTTATTGTAGTGTAATCTAACTGCTGTACTCAAACATTTTAACAGATACTACGTTACCATTAAATCATTTTAGGTATTGTTGCTAGTGCTCTTCTAAAATAACCTTAAGATTAGTGTGTAGAGGTTAACCATGTTATAATGACTACATTTTTTATTAGTTCTGCCATTTGGTCAACTGCCTCTGTACGAGGAGGGTAGTTCGAAGCTGACCCAGTCGTTGGCTATCGCCCGCTATGTCGCTCTCAAGGTGAATCTATTACCATCTGACCCTTGGGACCAGGCTGTGTTGGACAGCATTGTGTTCACAATCTACGACTTTTGGTCAAGTAAGTTAAAGAATTTGGTACACCATAAATAACTAGTTTTGAAGTCCCTTGGTTTACAATTAAATTGATTTGCAATTAGAAACGTTTATTACTTCAAACTTAATTTAATAAAATAAGACAATAATTTGCAGATATATTGGTTTAAATAGAAAGAAACGAGTCAGTTGCTAGCATAAATATTTTACGGGCTTAGAGCTAATGTAATATTCTTTCAGAGGTTGTAGCATACTTCAAGGAACAAGATCCTAAAAAGAAAGTTGAACTGAAGAAGGAAATCTTGGAAGAAAGTATCGATTTCTACTTCTCCAGGTTTGAGAAGCACTTAAAGGACAACAAGGGATACTTCCATGGAAAGGTATGTGATCACTTTAACGGTAAAATTTTGATTCTATGTCCCATCTATATTCAAATGTCCACCTGTGAATACTTATCGTGATTAATTTTCAGCTGACTTGGGTCGACTTCGTGCTGATCGGTATTTTGGAGGCTTCGAACTTGTTCCTTGGTGTCAATATTGAGAAGAAATACCCAACCGTAGAAGCGCTCATGAAGAAAATACTCAGTCTGCCAGGAGTCAAAGAATACATCGCTACCAGGAAACCTTATGTTCTATAAATAATGCAATGTATCATGTAGTTGATTTATAAATAAATTTGTTTTATTTAAATGACTATTTTTTATAACTTATTCCTTCTTTACGTAAAACTTTTAATTTTAATTATTAGAATTTTCAATGAAAGATTTATTAAATGAAATGAAAAAAAAAATTAAGACGAAAATTCAATGTTCTGAAGGTTTTATTGTAATTAGATATTCATCCTTCAATTGTTTTCTCAGCGAACAAAACACTACACGGATTCCTTTCACAATCATCTTTAGAACAATACATAAGCCGCTGTTACAAGAATCTTTCGTAGAATAAAAGGGAGTTCATCTACCGCCTACTTTCTCTTGTCACGAACTAATTAGCGCGTTATTATACCTTTCCTTTATTTATTAAGATTAATAACCTGTAACTAAATTATTTGTAAGCAATACCCGAAATTTATCCTTAATTATATTTTTGTAGACATGATTATGTTGGTAATAAGTAAATAAATAACAACCTTTTGGGTATTTTCTCAAAGATTTAATGTTTGACTTTAACAGTGGTAAACGCCTACAATAACAACAACTATGTTACGAATGGGCCGGCTCACTTGGAATACCAGGACCAGATAGAAGACAAGCGTGAAATGGTAATAAAAATAAAGACACTCAATATTATAATTGCGAAAGTTTTGACGAATAAATGTTTGTTAGAGTTTGTAGCCTTAACTGATCGGATCTAGGTGAAATTTGGCATAGATGTAAAGCATAGTTTGGGAAAACACATAGGCTCCTTTTTTTTTTTAATTTCACGTAAACATATAGCTAGTAATAATATAAATTGCATTTTTTATAAAAGAGATCATTAACTTTATTAATAAATGTTAAACATGACCTCATCGTGACTTAAAATTCTCGATAAGATCAATTTATTGCGAACAATCTACGAACTGGTAAAGTTGCTACTCTAACTTAATCCGTTAAAAGTTTTCTTTGCTCATTAAAAGAGTTCAAAGAATGTTAATGCTCAACTTAAGTGAACTATTCAAGAGTTAAGTTATCGTTAGGTACCATTTACAGGTTGGGTTCATTAGGAAAGTATAAAGTTTCATTTAGTTATTGTCTAAGTAGTTATTAAATGCAAAATATAAACTATTTTTTCTTTGATTTTCAAACCATACAGGGATTTATTACATTAACCATATATGGATTTTTATATAAAAATCTCTAGAGAAGAGTTTCGCTTTTTACTATTCCATTTTGTACACATTTAAGATCTTTACCTGTTTGGTTTTTTACCCCAAACAGGTAATGATTGAATCTATTTACAGAAACAAACACTATAAAATTTCGAATAATAAATACTGAAGATATTTGACTTTGGCTTTCAAACACATACCATGTTCCGATGAAGACATTTTTGTCAAAGCAAAAATTAAATTCCGGTGACTTTGCAAAATAAAATTTAACTCTTTTAATGAATACGTTCACAATACAAATACTTAACAAGACATATTAATTGACTTCATCGAAACAATAATTACAATAGGCATGAATAATTTTCCGTAAAATTCATAATTGAAATAATTACTTGCTTATTTTTCAATCTGAAATTAGTTTGAAGTAGCTAATTGAAACTGAAATAAGGCAGTTGTATATGTAAATCACTTGAGAATTTTAAAAAAATGTTAAAAAGAAAACAAGTATCAATTTTATGTTCCTTAACTATAATACAATATGTTTTTGGAGGTACGATTTTCATAAAATAATATTTTTAATTCAAATAATAATAGAATTAAGTGTAATTTTATCTTTATTTATGTTTTAATTTTTAATTTATCTTATAATTGTTTTAGTGGACAGTGATTATTTTTATGGAACATCATTACGCACTGAACAGGATAAACAATGTTATAGCGAACTACATAAAGTATTCTGCAGGATAAAGTGCGGTGTCAAGTCAAGCCTATGTATTGAAACACAATGTTACTGTGTGTATTATGTACAGAATATGAATAAAATCGGTAATTTTTACGTTTAATAATCTATCTAGCGTAAACACACACTTCTTTGTTGCCTAAGATGTCAGCAATCATAGCATATTTTCGAATAACTTTTTTTTAATAAAAAGCCCTACACTTACGTCACGGTTTAAGCTATATATTTTCACACCATTAAACTTAGGGGGTAAATGTTTTGGATAAAAACCCTAATATGGGAAAGAGACCATAAGTTGCTGCCAACATCAAGGAAACAAGATTGCCAAGGTTTGTAATGTCATGTCTTTCGACATTTGCTATTGATAATTTGACAAATGTAAACAATAAAGTCTAATTTTCATAATTTCATACCGATGAAGCCGCACGGGAACAGCTAGTATTATATGTTTTAGAACGATGAATAATGCAAAACAGATAATGTTCTTTTAAGTGATTTTTTAATTGCCTCGTATTGTAATGTTTTTTTTTTTAATTATAGACTTCTCTCTTGCTTTAAAACATTAATTTAAAAATTGAGAAAAATATGGTATATAGTCCTACATGATTATAGTGCGTATGTTCTTTCAGATGGTTCTCAAGTGATTTACTTAGCTAAGCCCGACGAACCTTTAAAGAAGATTACCCTAGCTGATGACTTTGAAGATATTATAGAAAATGGTACTTTAATTCATGAATTATCTTAAGTACTAACTTTACTTAACTCCTCGCGAAAGGAATCGCGAGCTAATAATATATTATATTTTCAGTCGACAGAGAAATTTATTTAGATAAAAATCTAAACAATCCAGTGATGTCCTTAAGGCCGTCTCTACGTCATCATATTGCACATTTCTGTCCGAATTTAGAAGTAGCAAGGCAATGTATTCGAAAATGTATGACAGAAGGTAAACCTGCGTTTTGTGGGAAGGACCACGTGTGTTATTGTGGACATAAATACTCCAGTACAGATACGAATCCAGGCGTAAATGTACAAGAAATGTACGGACAGTTTCATGATCTGTATGAAAAATACTTCGGTACATCAAATATTGATCACGACAGAGATGATGAAAAGTAACTTCGTTTAACACTGTAAATAAATACATATAAACAGATAATAAATCTTATCCTTAGTAAACTATTTTGAAAATTTCGTGGGATCTTCTTTAGCTAATTAAAACATCTCATGGCCGATTTCTGAAACGACTCTTAAACAACTTGCTTTGTAAAGCCTGATGTCAAAATTTAAATGGCATTTGGAATTTAAACGTTTAATACGCTGTTACATATTTAAATACTGTTTCAGTATTCGATTTTTACCTACATCTGTAAATTGAGTTTAAAACATGAATATAAAAACAAGTCTTTATAATATTAGTAATTTTTATTTAATTTCTATTTACTTTAATAGGTTTAAAGTCACAAACTTTAAAAAAATGTAATCTGTACATTTTTTTCATATATTTTTCACCTTACTTTGTATCTACAACCTATTTTTTCTTTTTTGAGAAAGGGTTTTATTCTGCCCCAAGCGGCGGAAATTCTTTAGCAACGTGAAATTGATTGAGAACGCCAGAACAACCCCCGCGTGTCTCTGATTTATATGCCGCGAACGAAACCACCGCTCAACTGAATTTTAATTACATACAACCCCTTGTGAAGAGTTTGCTCAATGAACTAGTCAATAGAATGAATGAATTTATTTTTTAGAACATAAATCGATGGCGGTTTTATGTTCTATATTTTTTTTTTAAATGAAATGTTACAAGTAATCTTCAATTTTATTTGTTTTTGGGTTTTTCTTAATCTGAAGTAAAAGAATAGGATAAGAAAGTAAGAAAACGCTTTACCAACTAACAAGGAGCATGTCGAAAACATAATTTTTAATGATATAACAATTCGAAGATTTTTTTACAATTTATGATTTGTTCAAAATCACGAAGACAAAATATCTAAAACTCAACATTTAAAAATAAAAATTGTAAAAGTCAAACTAAAATGCACTGTCATTCAAATGTCTTGTGCTCTTTTTTATCTAAAATCCTCTTCGAACCATATATTTTCCCTTAAACAAACATTCCCAGCGCATCCCACTATTAGAACACTGTTTGATTACGTATTTGCATAATTCTACGCTCGTAGTTAGGGTTAAAACATCGCGCCCTTCACATTACCATTAACATTGTGTTCACAATGCTCCAGTGGGCTATTGTTCTAGAATAAACAAATATTAGTATTAACAGCAATCATTACCCTTATTCCAAAGGTATAAGGTCGAATTTAGAATGTATTAATAGAATTGCAAAGCGTTCGAACGCTCTGAAACGCCGAGCAAGTCGATTTGATTAAGCCTTTCATTTCCATTTTTAAATCCATTGTTCATTTTATTCATACATCTTGAAAAATGAATTATCGATTTTATAATTTACTTCGATATTTTTAGCGTTGGTTAATGAGAGGTTTACATTAAATCCTTGTAAATAGGAGACGAATGGGGACATTCATAGAGTCCTTTTATACATAACCATAAAATGACACATTTCAATATTTTTCTTTTATTATCAATAGTGGATTAAATGTTTTAAACATCGGGGCTGTTTTTAATGTTCTATTAGGATCTTATCTAATTTTGATAGAAAAACGATGTAATATTTATGTCTAACAAATGTGTTATGAATTATTCATTTTTAACTTTTTAGAACATAACCTATTATATTTTATTAAACTATCTGTTCCAAGACTAGTCTCCAGAGAGTAGGTATTGGTAGAATGACATATTCTAAGAAAAAAACGTCTAAGACAGAAGTAATATCTATAAATATTTAAATAGCAAGAGCTATATGGATGGCACTATTAAAGAGAAATAAGAATGATCATTTACTACGATGTGTACAAATCCACATGAAAGCAAAACATTTTAAAGTAGAAAAAAAGTTCTTGAGGGTGAAAAGCATACGTGCGTGCCTTGGGGTTACATTTTCATATCCAAACTATAGCTTAAAAGTACAGACATGTAGATCCGTTATACGTGTATATTTATTTACATATTCCTGACTAAGGTAAGGATTATTTTGTGTATTTTATTATCTATATGGAAAGTATA